CCCATCTCTGATTGCAGGATCCCACCTTCGAAGCTGTGTGGTCCCTTCCGGGCATTGCCGTCCATGTGGGCCCAGATCCCTGAGTCGATTTCCAGCCTCCCTGAGGCCAGTCAGAACTTCCTCTTCTTCCTGGGCACGCAGGCCTTCGCTGTGCCCCTTCTTCTGGTCTCCAGGTGCGGGACCCAGACTCCTGGGTTCAGGGAGGAGGGGCTGTGGTCCAGGGTTCCTGGCTCTGAGGGAGAAAGTGGAGGTCTGGACTCCTGCATCCAGGGAAGAGGGGCCGGGGGCCTAGACCCGTAGTGTCTACACAGGCGGACGTTAACACCTTCTAAGAGTGCTTCGGGGGGGCGTTTGCATCTCATGCCCTGCAGCATCCTGATGGCGTACACCGTGGCCCTGGCCAACTCCTATGCGCGCCTCATCTCCGAGCTCAAGCGCCAGATAGAGACGGTGAGGCAGGCCGGGTACCTTGGAAAGCTCCTGCGGAATGTGTAATGGGACGTGGGGGAGGGAAGGTGTAACTCACAGCCACCTCTCTGTTCCACCCAGGAGGCACGGAATAAAGTCTTCCTGGCACAGCGCGCTGTGGCGCTGAGCTCCACCGATGGGGCTCTGTGACCTGCACAGGCCAGCGCAGAGCCAACTAACCACTTTCAGGTTCCAGACCTGTCCCAACTCTGTCACCCTTTTTATAAGCATCAAGTATTCCCAGCTATAAAATGGGACTGTTGGAGAAGGTCCCACACTCCTGCAGCCTAGGATTCGAGATTTCCAACCACCGAGGCCCGGACTCTTCAGTGACTCTTTACTTTTATCAATAAATGCAACTGGGGGCCACTGGTGGAGCAGTGGTTAAGTGCTCAGTTACTAACCGGGGCATTGAACCCACCAGCCACTGGGTGGGAGAAAGATGTGGCTGTCTGCAGTCCATAAAGCCTTGGAAACCCTGTGGGCAGTTCCACTCTGTCCTCTAGGGGCGCTGTGGGTCAGAATCGACTCCAGGGCAGTGGGTGTGGGTCGGACTTTGCTTCCTTGAAGATTGACAGCCTTTGAGAGGCTGTGGGGCACTTCTGCTCTGACCTCTAGGGGCGCTGTGGGTCAGAATCGATTTGATCACTTGACTGTAATGGGTTTTGATTTTCACTTGGGACGCTGTTGAGTGCTCTTTGAAACCTGTCTCCTGGAAGCGGGGCAGAGCTTCCACCTGGCTGTACCAATCAAATATATTGGAATTTGGGCTGGTGCACAGCGCTTTATCGCCAGACAAGGTGATGGTCATGACAGCCAATCAGCAGCCGCCTCAGCAGCATCAGCGACCAGGCCACTCGTGATTGACGCAAAACCCTGATAAAAGCAGTCAGTCGCTAGGCGCTACCACTTGCAAAGAATCAGGGATTGGCGGTGATGTGAGTTGGCAACTCAGCCAATCACCTCTCGCTACAGGCCTAGAGAGGGCGTGCCAGTTAGCCTGGGACCAATCCATGGCCGAGGCTTGGACGATAGGGCGGGAACATCCGCTCGCCAATCGGAAGTGTTGGAAGGCGGACCTGACAGTCCGAGGACAGTTACGGCGCCATGAATATCTTGCCCAAGAAGAGCTGGCACGTTCGGAACAAGGACAATGTGGCCCGCGTGCGGCGCGACGAGGCCCAGGCCCGGGAGGAGGAGAAAGAGCGGGAGCGGCGGGCACTGCTCGCTCAGCAAGAGGTAAGTGCGCGTCCCAGCGGGTAAGGGTCCAGCGGTCGAGCGCGCAAGCGCGTAGGGCCGAGCCAGGAAGTGGAGCGGCGCGCAGGCGCGATGGGCCCCGTGAGGTTCTGCTCTTGCTCCCGGGGAGGTCTGCACGGCTCAGCTCACCTGTGCCCACAGCCACGGTCCCTTCGTCTCGGCTTCCCCCGCAGATGTGTTCCAAGTCCCCAGAGCAGTGCTTGGCACAGAGGCAGGCGCTTAATATGCGCCGAGGATGATGAGTCCTTGCGTGGTGGCAAAGAACGGTGATAACTTTTCCTTTGCCAGCACAACCTCCGGATTTATTGGGCTTCTAAGGAGCCTTGGAAGGAGCTCCGGTGGCGCAGGGGTTAAAGCCCTGACTGCTAACCAGAAGGTGGGCGGTTCAAACCCACTAGCTGCTCCGCAGGCTTCCGTGAAGATTTACAGTCTTGGAAACCCAATGGGGCAGTTCTACCCTGTCCCCTAGGGTCGCTGTTGTTGTGTGCCAGGGAGTCGGAGCCGACTCATAGCGACCCCTCCTTGGGTTTCCGAGGCGGTATCACTACGGAAGTAGATTGCCCAACCTTCCTTCCGAGGAGTGGCTGGTGGGTTTGAACCGCCAGCCTTCTGGTTAGCAGTCAAGTGCCTTAGGCACTATGTTACCAGAGCTCCCCCTAGGGTCGCTAGGAGTCAGAATTCACTCGATGGCCGTGGGTTTGGATTTTGGTTTAAGGAAACAGGGTGGTGCAATTTGCAATCTACTTCCGTACAGATACCATCTCGGAAACGCAAGGAGGGGTTGGTTGCTGTGAGTAGGAATGGACTCCAGGGCAGTCCGTTTGCTTCGGTTCTTTTTGGTGGTGCAGTGGTTTAGCGCTAGGCGGCTCACCAAACCCACCAGCAGCCCTACAGAAGTATCGCGTGATCTGCTTCCGTAAAGGTTAAAAACCAAGCCGTTAGGCGATTCTGACTCATACCTACCACCATTGGGTTTCCAAGAATGTAAATCTTTATGGAACTGAACTGCCTCATCGTTCCACAGAGCAGCTGGTGGGTTCAAACCACCTACCTTTTGGTTAGCAGCCAAATGTCTTAACCACTGCACCACCAGAACCTACGGGGACAGTTCCGTTGCGTCACATGGGTCACCACGAGTCGGCACTGACGGGGCAGCACGCAGCAGTGACCTGTGAGCGCCGCGGCCCGCAGACGGCTCGCAGCTGCCGCTAACCGGCAGGGGGTTCAGGCGCACCCAGCCGCGCCGCGGAAGCAAAGCCCGGCACACTGCTCTCCATAAAGATGGGGGTCGTTGCTCGGTGTCGTCACGTGGGTTCCAACTCACAGTGACCCGATGTACGACAGAACGGGACCCTGCCCGGTGTGTGCCATCCTCACGGTCACGCCACGTCGGAGCCATTGTTGCAGCCACGTGTCGGTGCCTCTGGTTGAGGGTCTCTTTTCCGATGACGCTTTATTTCATCTAGCGTGATGTCCCGCTCCAGGGACTCTCCTGACAGGCCCAAAGTGAGACAAAGTCGCCACCTTCACTTCTGAGGGTTACTTCTGGCTGTACTTCTTCCAAGACAGATTCGTTCATTGGCTGTCCAAGGTCTAGTTAATGTTCTACGCCAACGTAATTCACAAGGTATCGATCCTTCTTTGATTTTCCGTACTCACTGTCCAGGTTCCACGTACATAGGAGGCAGCTGGAAACCATGGAGTTGGGGTCAAGCCTGCCTTAGACCTCAGAGTGACATCTTTGCTTATTTTAAGCATTTTAAAGAAGTCTTCTGCAGCAGGCTTGCCCAGTGCAATACCCTGTCTGATTTCCTGACTGCTGCTTCTGTCGGCGTGACCGTGGCTACAAGTAAAATGAAATCCCTGACAACGTTGGTCTTTTCTCTGTTGGTCATGATGTTGCTTATTGGTCCAGTTGTGAGGATTTTTGTTTAACGTTGAGGTGTATCCTCCACTGAAGGCTGTAGTCTTTGACCTTCATCAGTAAGCACTTCAAGGCTTCTCTTTCAGGAGGCAAGTTTGAGTGACGTGCATATTGCAGGTTATTAATGTGTCTTCTTTTAGTCCTGATGCCATGTTGTTCTTCATACAGTCCAGCTTCTCAGATTATTTGCTCAGCAACAGATTAAATGAGTGTGATGAAAGGATACACCCCTGACGCACACCTTTCCTGACTTTAAACCACACAGTGTCCCATTGTTCTGTTTGAATGACAGCCTCTTGGTCTCTGCACAGGTTCTTCACGAGCACAATTAAGTGTTCTGGAATTCCATTCTTCACAATGGTACCTAAAATTTATTATGAGCCACACAATTCAATGAATAGTTAATAAAACAGGTGGACATCTTTCTGGTATTCTCTGCTTTCAAACAAGATCCATCTGACATCAGCAATGATAGCCCTCGTTCCAAATCCTCTTCTGAGTCCAGCTTGAATATCACTGATACCAGTGATACTGTCCAATAATTTCCACATTGTGTGGGGGTCATCTTTTTTTTTGGAATGGGCACAAATACGGGTCTCTTCCAATTGGTTGGCCAGGTAGCTGTCTTCCAAATTTCTTGGCATAGACAAGGGAACACTTCCAGTGTTGCATCTGTTTGCTGAAACTTCTCAGTGGGTATTCTGTCAATTCCTGGGGCCTTGTTTTTTGCCAGTTGCTTAAGGAGCTCTGGTGGCAGTAGTGCGTAAGGTATTTGAATGCTAATCAGAAGGTTGGCGGTTCGTACTCAACAGCCACTCCTCAGAAGGAAGACTGGGCAATCTACTTCCATAAAGAGTTACCACCTCAGAAAACCAAAGAGGGTTGCTATGAGTTGGAATTGACTCAATGGCAGAGAGTTTGGTTTGGGTTTTTGGTTCAATGCAGCTTGGACTTCTTTCTTCAATACTATCAGTTCTTGATCATATAGTTTCCTGAAAAGGTTGAAGCAGCTCTTTTTGGAACAGTGACTGTGTATTTCTTCTATCTTATTTTGATGTTTCCTGCATCATTCAGTATTTTGCCCATGGAATCCTTCAATATTTCAACTGGAGGCATGACTTTTTTCTTCAGTTCTTTCACCTTGAGCACCACCGAGCATGTCCTTTCCTTTTGATTTGCTAACTCCAGGTCTTTGCACATTTCACTATAATCCTTTACTCTGTGTTCTTTTGCTGTCCTCTGACATCTTCTGTTCAGCTCTTTTATTCCTTCCATTTGTTTTAGCTACTCTCTGTTCAAGAGCAAGTTGCAGAAGTTTCTTCTGACATCCACTCTGGTCTTTTCTTTCTTTCCTGGCTTTTTAATGAATGACCTTTTGCTTTCTCCATGTATGTCCTTGATGTCATCTGACAGCTCAGTTGGCCTTGACTCACATTAGTATTCACTGTCTCAGATCTCTTCTGGAGATGGTCTCTAAATTCAGGCAGGAGATAATCAAGGTCGAACTTTGGCTCTCATGGACTTGCTTTGATTTTCTTCACCTTAGACTTGCATTTGAGCAGCTGATGGTCTGTTCTGCAGTCGGCCCCCGGCCGTGTTGACTGATGACTGGCAACTTCTTTGTTGCCTCCTTCCCCTGATCCATTTCATTCCTGTGAATTCCATCCAGTGAGGTCCACTTGTGTAGCTGCTGTTTATATTGCTGAAGAAAGGTATCTGCAACGAATAAGGCATTGGTCTTGTAAAATTCTACCATGCTATCTCCACTGACGTGTCTATCAACAAGGCCATGTTTTCCAACTTGTTTCAAACTTTTGTTCCAATTACCGGTAATTATCAATACATCTTTTTGATTAAAAGTTTGGTCAATTTCAGACTACAGAAGTTGGTTAAAATCCCCAATTTCTTCATTTTTGGCTTTTGTGGTTGGTGTGTAAATTTGAGTAGTCTTACTGTCTTCCTTGTAGGTGTAGGGATGTCATCCTATCACTGACAGTGTTGTACACTGGAATAGATCTTGAAATGTCCTTTTTGATGATGACCGTGACACCGTTCCTCTTCAGTCTGTCATGCCAGCATGGTAGACCATGTGACTGTCCGACTCAGAAGGGCCAATCCCAGTCTGTGCAGCTCGTGCCTAGGACACCGATCAGGATGCATCTCCTCTGACAGCTTCCAGTCATCCTGGGGTCATATTTCATACGTTTCACGTTCCATTTACCAGTGGATGTTGCCAGCTATTTCTTCTCATTTTGAGTCATGCCACATCAGCAAGTGAAGGTCCTGAAAGCTTTACTCCACGTCTTTGAAGTCGACTCCACTTTGAGGCGGCAGCTTGTCCCCAGGCGTATTTTGAGAGCCTTCTGACCCAGAGGTTCATCTGCTGGAACTCTGTCAGACAGTGGCCCTCGGCTGCCATGAGCTTCTACTGGCCAATTTTTTTTTTTTTTTTAAGAAGTACCATGTTCTTCGTCCCAGTCTGTGTTAGGCTGGAAGTTCTGCTGAAACCTGTCCGCCAAGGGTGACCCTGCTGGTATTGGAAATACTGATGACATAGCTTCCAGCCTCACAGTGACACACAAGCCATGAGAGTCAACAGACTGACAGACGGGTGGTGGCCGTAAGGGTGACAGCCTGGAACCCTCGGAGCAGTTCTACTCTGTACCACGTGGGGGCGCCAGGATCGTAACTGACTGGATGGCAGCCGACAACAGTGTGTGACTAGCAGGTAACTTTGAGTCCCTGAGCTACCCTGATCCTCGTCCCTGGTTGGGACGTGGCTCCTTATTCCCAGTGGCACCTGCAGGTGTGACCGGGGGAGGGACGTGGAGCCTGCAGCTCAGACCGCCTTCCCGACCCAGGCCTGCCTCATCGTGTGGCCTTCCCAGGTGCGGTTTTTACGAACTGAAGGTCTGGGGCGGCCCTGGGCAGCCAGGTCGGTCGGAGCCAGTTTGTCAACAGCACGTGCTCACCCCACAGCTGTGTGCCACCTTGGTCATTCTCACGGTATCTCGGGCCTTTTCATCATGCTGTCGCGAACTCAGTCGACCACGGCACAGCAGCGGCGTCACTTACATGCCCTGGGAAACCAAAGAAACCCACGTGACTTGCTCTACGGCCCCATTCGTGTTAAGCAGCGGTCTGAGACCAGGCCCACGGGAGCCCTGATGTTGCCTGGGCAGGGTTTGGCTGCCTTTACAGCTCTTTTTACTTAGGCACTTGATCAGGGAGTCCTCCCTGCCGACCCTTGGTGACCCTCGGATTACTACCAGGAAGGCAGCTTACAAAAGCTTGCCTCACCCTGGGCTGGGCTGGGGGCCTCTACTGGGCTCCCCGTGGGCGGGGCACTGCGGACTGTGATTCTCTGCGGCCCCCACCGGCCTCTCGGCGCGAGTCCCTTCGGGATTCTGAATGCCCTGCCTTTCCCTGCCTCCCCCCAGGCCCGCACAGAATTCCTGCGCAGGAAAGCCAGGCACCAGAATGCGTCAGCCGAGCTGGAAGCAGTGGAGGCGGGGGCCCCAGCTCCTGGCCCCGTGGACCTGTTTCGGGAGCTGCTGGAAGACGGCAAAGGGGAGACCAGAGGCAATAAAGAATACGAGGAGGAAAAGCGACAGGAGAAAGTAAGCCTTGCTGGCGGGGCTGAGGGACACGTGGGCGCACAGATACGGTGCCCAGGGAACACACGCACATGCGCGCACACACACCTGAGGTCAGTGCCAGGCAGCACCCAGGAAGGGGCCCAGGGAACACACGCACACGCGCGCACACACACCTGAGGTCAGTGCCGGGCAGCACCCAGGAAGGGCTGGCCACTGCCACGCAGGCACCCTAGCCTTGGAGTCCCAGGATGATGCAATGCTTGGTGACCGGCTGACAGATTGACGTTCAAACCTATTTAGAGGCCATCTGCTTCCAAGAGGTCACAGCCTTGAAACCCCGAGGGGGCGGTTCCACTCTGCCCACACGGGGGCACCCTGAATCACGATCGACCTGTTGCCGCTGCTTTTTATGTTTTGTTCACAAACACTACCCTGGCCGGAAGGACGCTCCGGGCCGCCACCCTTCTCTGCCTTCTCATGGACAGTCCTGCAGAGACGTCAGCCCTGTCTCTGAGGGGCTGCATCCCCGCCCCCATCTCATCTGCCCCGGTACAGACTCCCATCAGCATCCCATTCCCCTTTTCCCAGACAAGCTCCTGTCTTTCCCTCGGCCCTCCTCCATGGCCAGGCGGCCGCCCTGCCACCTCCCCCGTGGTCCAGGCCCGACGGCCGGCACCACTGCTTCTGCGTCCCAGTCCACAGGGGTCCACACGATGCCTGAGCCCTGGGCCCTGCTCAGCACAGGTGGTGCCCACCGTTCAGTGCTCGGTGACCAGCTGAAAGGTTGGCGGTTCAAACCCAGCCAGAGGTGCCTCTGAGGACAGGGCCGGCCGTCTGCTTCCACAAGGTCCCAGCCTTGACAACCCGAGGGAGCAGGTCCCCTCCGATGCACACGGGGCGCCACCGTGGGCTGGGACTGCCTGGACGGCAGCTGACCGCAGCCCAGCTGTGGGGCTGCTGGGTCCGGTCGGCCAGGTGTCCAGCTCGCGGTCGGGGCCCTACAGGGAAGTGGGAAGTGCCCTGGACAAACAGTGGGCACTCACCGGTCCATCGTCCCAGCCTCTTGTTGCCTGTTGGGCAGCTTCCTGGAGGTATGTGTGTAGGGGTACACCTGGGGAGGGTGCCTGCCCCCCTGCTCCTCTGAGCCCCAGTGCTGGCCTGGCTGTCAGGCGCCGCGCTGCTCCCTGCGCAGGAATCCGGGTGCGGAATGACGGGGGCCACGGGAGCAGGTGCTCTGGGACTAGAGGGCCATCCCCACACATCCGAGAGCTGGCCCAGCGTCCCGCAGCTCCCCAAACGCCGCCTGGTGAAGCTCTGGGGTCGGCGTGGGCACCGCCTTCCCGGGGCAGCTGCCTCTTACCTCCTCTGCCCCCATTTGGAGTCTCCTCCCCTCACCTCTGCGCGGGAGACCTTTTCAGCATGGAAATCACCTGGACACCTGCCTGCTCCCTCAGTGGGAACTGGTCCATGGTTCCTTCCCCAGCCCTCCCTCACTTTGGCCACTGTCCCCACTAGGGTCTCTGTCCCACCCAGGGTGGGTTCCTCAGTGAACAAGGTAAACACATGGGAAGACACTTGAAGTACTGCAGGCGAGTACGCACGCACAGGGAAGCCCATGCTTAATTGCTTCCTGGGCCCCTCTGTCCCTGTCAGGGACTGTAACTGAAAAGCAGCTCTGATTCTCCAGGAAGGGGCTGTGGGCTTGGGAGAGACAACTTCAGCCAGGCTGGCAGCAGAATCTTTGATGCGATAAAAAAAGTCACAGTGTCCCCTAAGTTTGGTAAGCACAAGTCAGCCTGTGCTTACTTTGCTTACGTGGTAACCTGACACTGGTTATGCTCAGCACGGCAAGCTTGCGGGACCTGCAGTGCACTTGTCCCCAGGCCTCGCTCTCCAGATGGGGCCCCCTGGGCAGACCTGCCCGACACCCCCTCTCGTCTCTTGGCACCCCCAGGAGAGGCAGGAGCGAGCTCTGGGCATCCTGACATACCTGGGCCAGAGTGCGGCAGAGGCCCAGACGCAGCCCCCGTGGTGCCAGCTCGCCCCGCGCCGAGAGGCACCCTCACCTGGCCCAGGTGTCGACGAGAAGATCAAGAGCCGCCTGGACCCTCTGCGGGAGATGCAGAAATACCTGGGGAAGAGGCGGCGTGGTGGCGGCGAGGGCGCTCCCAGCAGAAAGGCGGCGGCGGCCGAGCGACCGCGGCCCACGGAGTAAGCAGGCAGATGGGAGGGTGCGGTGGGCGTGCAGTTCCTGCCCGGTCCCAGGACTCTCCTGGGGGGTGTCTGCAAAGTCAAGCCTGTTCACGGTGGTAGTTTGTCTTTTGCGTGCAGTGGAGGGCCACAGAGGCTATGACGTGCCAGGACGGCACCTCCATGAAGGTTCTCATCTCTCCCAAGAGCGATGTTAACAGATGGGAACCATGCCAACAAGAGCCCTTTGGGGTTATCAGTTTTCCAGAATGTTATGGGGTCCTCGGACCAGGTCTGGGAAGTATGGTTAGAGTAGGCCAGGCTGCGTCCCTGGATGTCGGACCCCACGTACGCAGGGGTGAGACCGCAGCCCTCTGCTGGAGGGGAAGCGGGCAGGGGGCATTCCGTGGCAGAGTGCGGGCTCAGTCGTCGGTTTCCCGAGTTGGAGGGGCGCCTTAATTGGAAGGGAGGGGGACAGTGCTCAGGAGCGCCTGCCGATCCTGGGGTCGGGCAGCGTCCTCCCAGCAGGTGCTGGGAGCCGAGAGCCGAGGCAGGTCTCCGGGAGGGGGCGGGGACGCGGCGGTGGCTGTCCCGCCCCCATCCAGCCTGAGCCGACGCCCCCCACCCCAGGCCCCCTTCCCTGGACCGACTTCGAGCAGAACGGCTCCAGCGGGAAGCCACTGAGAGGGCCCGGGCAGAGGCCCTGCTGGCCCGGGTCCGAGGCCGAGCCCCCCAGGAGGACCCACCAGAGGAGGAGGTGGCAGACGAGAGACGCAGATGCTACAACTCCCAGTTCCACCCGCAGCTGGCGCGGCGCCCCCGCCGGCAGGACACCCGGCCCTCCCGCTGAGCTGCGTCTGCGCTCCGTGGGAACAGGAGAGGCTGCCGCTGCCAGCCGTCATAGAAAACTATTTATTCATAAATATTTTCCAAAATGAAAATAGGTTTACCAAAAAATGCCCCTCGCTGGGGAGGGGAGGGGGCAGCCCTGGCCCCCAGGCCCCCGGGGGGGTGCTGAGAGGAAGCGGGGACCTCTGGGCCCCTCTGTGTCCTGGGGGAGGGGGCTGCCCCGTGGCCAGGGGGGCTCCCCCCAGTCTTCTGGGGCAGGGCCCTCCCCCGGGTGGGGGGTCAGCATGCGGAGGGAGGGGCGGGGGCCGGCGTCACTGGAGGTCCCGGTCCTCCAGGTAGCGGTACTCGAAGGTGAAGCCTTCCTTCTTCCGCTGGCCCCACTTCTCGTAGTCGAAGTAGATGTAGGTGCCCTAGCCAGGGGAGAAGGCGGTCAGTGCAGGGAAGAGGGGAGCAGGCAGGGCCGGGCTCTGCTGGGCACGGGCCTCTTCAGCTGGAGAAACAGGCAGAGCCCCTTCGCCAGGCTGCGGCCCTGGGCGCGGGCCACGGGGCAGGCGTGTGACATGTCCTCTCCTCCGTCAGGAGGCTGAAGCAGTGTGCTCTCCTGCCCGTCCTAGAGACTGGCACAGGCCGAGTCTAAACAGGAGCACCTTCTGGGGGTGGCTTATGGGTGACAGTGGGAGCAAGGGCACTTCTCAACACTGGGGGCCCTGATGTCTGCAAGTGGAGGGCTGACTTGGACCAGACGGGGGGCTGCCTATAGGAACGCTGAGAAGGCACTGTGGGGGAGGCCTGCAACAGCGCCCCCTTCCTGAAGGAACTGCATGAGGGGACGAGTTCCCCAGGATGAGGGCCACACCTTATTCCACACACTCTCCCGGGGGCCTGGGCAGCCGGTTACTATTTGCTGGGAACAACGTGGGCCACTGCAGCCACTGAAGCTAACAGCTGACGGAGCCCGTGTGTGTGGCTCTTTCCGCGGCAGGCACCCCCAGTACGCCCCCCATCAGTAACTCATTAACTCTCATCACAGCTGTGGAAGCAGGGTCTGCCCCCCGTTTCACAGAGGGACTCGGGCAGAGGTCACCCCGAGAGCTGGACTCGCCCCTCGGCGAGGCGTCTAGCTCGTGTACTCTGACAGACGCGCAAGCTTCTAGTCAGTCAGTCATCGGACATGGGAGGCCAAGTAGGGGCTCAGCCTCCGGGGCAGCATGTGCCGGGGGGAAGCGCGGAAGGCAGGAAGGGAAGGAGAGGAGGAGGAGGCAAACAGGAAGAGAATGTTACGTCGAGGGGACCGCAACCATCACGAGACGAACCGTGCGGACCGCCAAACAGAAAGCCAGGCTGCTCTGTAAAGCGTCACCCAGGTCGCAATAAACAGTTTAAGGAAAAGGGCAAAGTGCTTCCCCGCGAGTATCTGGAGCCGCTGCTGTGCAGACGTGGGGGCCACGAGGTGAACGGGGGTCAGAGAACCCCGGTGCACAGGCGTGCCCCACAGAGGGGTCCCGACGGAGGTCGCAGGCTGGTGGCTCTGGGCGCTAGGCTGAGAGCTAAAGGATGGCTAGGAGTCGGCTGGCCGGAGCGTGGTGGCCAGAAGCAGCAGTCCGGGGCCAGAGCACCACTGCAAGCTGGAAGGTGGTTGAGGAGGGAGACGGGGCCTGGCGCAGGGCGCACAGTGGGGAGCGGAGCCGGCGACAGTGGGGGCACAGGGTCGGGGAGGGGCCTGGCACCTGCTCGAACTCGTCGGTGATGGTCTTGGGCTCCTCGTGCCTCTGGAACCACATCATGTACTTGGTGTGGAACCTCCACGACTGCTTCTTCAGGGC